TCTCGAGGGATCATTGATATATCATCATATATATCCTTCCTGCTTTTTTTACTTCTGAGGCTTGGATTATGACATTTTTGATGACACTCTAGTATTAAACATTGATATCTAGCGTTCTCAAAAAGGTTCTTAAAGATTAAAAGGTACATAACATCTCGATTAAAACTCCATCGACAGTTTCGGTTATCCATTTCAAAACATCGCTCGAATTGGCACATAACAAAGCTGAAACTGACTCATAAAAGCACACTTTCTTCTCCTAGAAATATCTCTTACCGTCACTCCACGCAGCAATAATATCCATTCATATTTTATGCAAAATGATGGTGTTTTAATATAATGATGATAACGATGATAGGAATTGATTACTTTCTTGAATTCAGAACAATGRTAAATGGAACACTGAAGGAATTCCCAAAAAACTACTTAAAAAACCTGAACAACCTGGCGAAACTGTAAGTAACGTTGCATCATTGACTGCAATCAGAACTACATTGTATAATGTACTTCTACCCGCAATCTTAATATGTTCCGGCATTTGGTCAAAGTCATTTTTCAAATGACTGCAGCTGAATGTACATATATACTGAATATAAATTCTACTTTACAGTTTCGGTGTAGTACTAATCTAACAACATGTCCACTGTATCTCTTTTAGTGATCTGAGTAACAACAGGATATCTAATAGTTTCTACATACCAAGACATGTTGTATTAGTGTAAGTCCTTTCAATATATCTATGAAATGGTTTGAAAAATTAGTTGATGTGAAATATTTGTGCATTTTCTTACAAATTCTTTTTTGGATATCTTAAATGCATAATTTAATGTGGTACGATCGGTACGATCTATTAGAATTTTGAGGGGAGGGGGGGGGGACTGAAAGATTTTTTTTTTAATTTCTCGGGCGGCGCGAAGGGCCGAAAAAATATTCCATCCTATCTTACAAGTTTAGTTGAGAGAAAGGTATATAAACTCAACCAAATCGGCTGAAACTTGCTGCATACCTCAAAAACAGGATGTGTGATTTCGCCAATCCAAGTGAGAAATTCACGATTCAATAACATCATACAAAATCGTGGAAATAACGGTATAATCTAGAGAGGGAGGGGTGGTTACATAATGACCACTGATAAAGAGCCTGTGCTCCCTGTGGAAGCAGTAACTTGTAATTTCTTATTCTTACAGGAATCTCAAAAGTAATTTGCTAAGACCATCAATGCTCCATGGAATGTTCCACAACCTCACTTTGCTTAAAGACTTGTAAGTTAGGGACTGTGCAACGATCCCTCARTTTTCTCGCAAACTTTGTTTATCGTCTTGTTATAGAGTTTTATCAATGAATCCGTTAAGTGATGGTCTGATACCAGGAACATTTTTTGGTCTGGATAACCTTCTTAATCTGTAAGTATTAAGCTATTTATTGAAACGCTTTTGCAGTAGCTATAGCCATCATCAGCTTGGCCAGTTTTTTTGTTTGATAGTTTACTAGTAAAATAATCTTAATTTGTTTGTTGTAGTGAAGTAGCTTTTGCTGGACTTAAAGATTTACAAGTAGGAACATTTGCTGGTCTGAAAACCCTGAACCAACTGTAAGAAGATTTCTAGGAATAAATGTTTTTTGAAGTGACTGATTATAATGAACTTTCTCTTGACCGTGCAGTAACGTCAGTTATAATCAAATCTCGATGCTACGAAAAGGCGTCTTAAATGGAATTGGCAAGAAGAAAAAGCCTTCACTAAGTGAAGTGTATGTATCTTAGCTATATTTCAATGGGACATTTTTCTTATAAATCCAATAATGTTTTGTGTATTGAATAAAATTCGTATACATTTTCATGTTTTTCTCTGATTAGCCTACGTACTATAGCGTTCCTCTGGATGGCTATGTAGAGGTCATCCTGAAGGACTAAACAGTGGGCGCGGCTCTTATCAAAGCAATGTAGCAATGTAGCAATGTAGCACTGTAGCAATGTAGCAATGTAGCAATGTAGCAATGTAGCAATGTATGCACTGTAGCAGTGTATCAACATATATGATAATAGAATTTTTTCAATATATCACGAATGTCTTCATGCTACATTGCTACACTGCTACATTACTCCATTGCTATGCTACACTGCTACATCGCTACGAGTGCATTGCGATTCGCGATTATAGAAGGTTCAGACCGAATGACATATTTCTTGAAGGTTATTTGGGTTATCATGCGCCGGCAACAATGCTTTCTGATGGTTGCAGAAGTGGTGTGGTCAATACAATTTTATCCCTCAAATCTGTTCTTGGTCGTCTATTATTTTTCGGAGCAACCAGTTTCCGCAGGCAACAGCATAATGAACACGATTCAAATTATAAATAACATTTCTCAAGTGCAGTAACAATCATGGCAAGATTTTCACATGAGTCAAAGTCGAAGTTAATTGCGTGTTCGATTCACAGATATTTCAGTGAGAATAACATCTCCAATATCGAGGATAGAGTGTTTGAGGGACATAATTTCATCACAGAAATGTAAGTGTTTTAATGACAATGTATTACAATTTATTACAAGTTTTTAAATATTGGTATTATTAGTATTTTGCGCTACTACATTTCTAAATATTAACACTCAGTGCTGTTTACAGTTTTTTGAAAAATTAATTATCATTAATTGTTTTCAATGTTTTGTTTTGTGGTGCAGTCATCTAGCTGACAACAGGTTAACATCGATTCCAGATTTAAAAGGAGTTAACTCAAATTTCCAAAGACTGTAAGTATGTTGATCGAATGATCAAATATTTGTTCCAGTCGAACCTCTGTAATACGCGGTCACTTTGGAAACCAGATGACCTTAAAAGGAGGTTGACCATTTAATAGTGATCACTTCTACAGAAAAAGTAAAAATAGAAGAATTGACTTTTGGGGAATTTATACGTGACCGCTTAGAGCTTAATGGAGAGGTTTAACAGTACATTAGTAAAAAATAAATTTATTAGAGAACTCTTGTTGAAACAGTCACATTCTGATGTCTGCGCAGCGAGTACCAACTGAAAAAGGCTTCAACTGATAGCTTTTGTTTTCATTTCATTTTGAGCGCAGTCAATTTTCAGGGAATCTCATCTCTGATCTATCGTCTCTCTCCAAGTCTGGAATCAAGAGCATCAGAACACTGTAAGTCAGTCTATCATATATTAGACGTATCAACCAAACTATTGCTCACTATGGCTATTTATGGCCTCGTCGAATGAAGCGAAAATTGTTAAAATAAAAAATAGTCGCAAAATATTCTTATGTTTTTTAAATATTCTATATTTTTAGGCAATTGCAAGAAAATAATATATCAGTGATCCCCCCTGACACGTTCAAGAATATCAACATTCTATTTGTCTTGTAAGTATAATTGCCTATTTATCACGATGGTGATCTAGGGRAGGGGGGGATGTGGTTCACAAGGAATGATGTAGGGATGTCCACAAATTTCACAGCTTTGAAATATTTAAATATAAACATTTTATTATTSTTAYGTYACAGGGATTTGTCTTTCAATTCTATCCAGAGKATCCCAGCGAGACTGTTCCAGGGCTCATACATGAKCCAGTTGTGAGTATCGCGKATTTGTTGGGTACCCTGTGCAATGYCATACTGAAAAAAAGACTGTTGACTAGTGAACAAATTCATTTACAGAAATTTGCAGAACAATAGAATTAGCATTCTAGAAAAGGACAGTTTTGCTGGACTGCCAAATCTTCAAGGATTGTAAGTGTAATTATGATGATGATAAAGAAATAAGAATATCATTAACGCATTATTAATAATGTTGTTTTTTGCTGTTATTGTAATGATAGGAATGATAGTAATTATAGTGATGGGCTCTGGTTGAGTGCTTAGATATTTGATATTTTACAAGTGTCGTCTTGTCAATTGCTCAGTAACTTCTTTTTCCGTTTCAGATTTATGCTTCAAAATGAACTACAGTTTTTACCTGACTCTTTGTTTGAAAATATGGAAATTGATACCCTGTAAGTATAAATCCAAATAAAAACAGAAGAATGAGAAACTTTAAGTTGTCCAGCTGATGACTTCCTTTAACTTCGACTCAAAGTTATACGAGGATGAAATGTAACATACATTCAAGTCTCTAGTTTAGAGGTCACCTCTTCTTGTATTTACCCTTTACGTGAGCCCTATTTCAAAAACGGTTAAGCAGACACCTATTCTTCACCTGAAGTAATCACTTTAGAGGTTCAATTGTAGTTTGTTGTTGTGGTTGTTGTTGTTGTTGTTCTTATTGTTGTTGCAGTTGCCGTTGTTATTGCTGTTGCCGTTGTTGACAAATTTGAAATTCATCCCCAAAATACATTTTTCCTCTCTTGCAGATTTTTAAGTGAAAATAGTTTTACCAAGCTGACGGGACGACCTTTTAAGGGAATGAATAAAACCAACCTGGACATGTAAAGACAAAATTCTTAAAATAACGATTATAAGTCTTATAATATAGTATTTTTGTGTTAACTAGAGTTAGAATATATTTCATATTATGACAGACAACTATTCTCCAACCCGATCCATGAAATGGATGGCAGTTTTTTCAGTGATATAAAAGGCACGTCGAAAACGTAAGTTATTTCGTTGTATTACTTTCTTTGCAATTTTAGTAAAATATACCCGTTCGGTMTCATCATTTATGGTCAATCATTAATGCCAACTATTGTTCTCAATCATCCATTGCATCATCCTATGCAATTCCTTTATTTAATAGAACACTAGACTGTCAGAACCTCAAAGATCTTCCTCGTCTTCCAGTTTCAACGCAAGTGTAAGTCAATACAATAACTATCACGTATCCCAAACCAGGATAACTGCAGTACTGATTAAAAATGTCATGCTGTAATTTTAGGCATTGTACAGAACACTATTCCCAACAATGGATCGAAGKACTTGGTAGATCTGTGGCCRAGTCTCTTGCAAAAGCTGGGTTCAAATGTGTTGTAATCGTTCAGGAAAATTATCGTTGTATACCATGCGGGCCAGGCACCTTTGGTGGTGATGAAAATTGTCGAAATTGTTCTGCAGGTAATCGAATCGAACTTTTACTGTGAATCGCAAAATTTTGCTACGTTRTCGGGTTATATTTCTAAGTAATGTTTTGATTGATTCTGTATTTAGGTACTACTATAGTAAAACTTTCCATTGTATTTCATTATTCTTGAAATTACGAATTTGGACTTTCATGACGTAATGCTTTAATGTGATAAGCAAATATTCAACGATAATCGACTTAAAGATGTCATAAAATTAACGCATACATGATCACHTAAACATGTATCCCGACAATTCCTAACCCTAACCCAAAGAACTGTTTGATTTCTGATTTCTATTGCTGGCTTTAAGATTAATGTTTGATGTACTTCTCAGGAGGGTTTTTTCAGGACGAGTTGGCACAGGTATATTGCAAAAAATGCAACATCGGCACATTTGTCCAACCCAAGAATGCACCAGCCACCGGACCGCTGACCTGTCAGGCATGTCCACAAGGTAGAAACGAGACCTTCTATTTCCGCTTTTACTATTTTATTTATAATCTTTTATCGATCTCTACACCTTTTGAACTAAATTCCTTAAATTCTCAGGTACGCAGTCAAGTCAATGGTCAGGATACAGAGCATGCAAATGTCTCCAAAACTTCCACAGATTTGATCGATTTGATCAGTGCTTTCCATGTCCAAGTAAAGGTTTGAATTGCTCCAACGACTACGCCATTCTTTCAGAAGGCTACTACTGGGAATGGACAAATGAAAGCATGAAAAACGACTACGATAGCTACATTACCAACTTGATGATTGAAAGCAGGGACTATACAAACGGGACGTGGACATTTACAGGGTCTCTTCCAGTACCTCACAAATGCCCGCGTAAGTCATGCCGCGGTGGACTGAACTCTAGTTGTGACATTGGTTACCATGGTCCTCTCTGCTCACTCTGTGACGTAGGCTATTATAACAGGATGAACAGGTTTGTACTCCGCTTAAATACGAGCGAATTTAATCGCAAAGGATGCAGCGATCGGGAAAACAGTAAGCTGTGAAATAAGGGATGAAATTCTTCGCTGGCTTTCCGACTCAATAGACAGAACGACAAACTGCACTTGTCTGCAATGAAGTTCAACAACCCTCAAATAAACAATTTTTTATTTTGTTTCCAGCTGCATCAGCTGTCCTGGAAAGGTGTGGGCTACCAT